CTACTCCTACTCCTACTCCTCCTCCTCCTCCTCCTCCTCCTCCTCCTCCTCCTCCTCCTCCTCCTCCTCCTCCTCCTCCCCCTTCCCCTCCCCCTCCTCCTCCCCCTCCTCCTCCTCCTCCTCCTCCTCCTCCTCCTCCTCCTCCTCCTCCTCCCTGGAGCTGCGGGGCAGCAGGCCTCTTTTCGGCTGCCTCCGTTCGGCGGCGAGCCCGGGGGGGGAAGTGAGAAGGAGCAGGCCTTCTCAGAGGGCGGCGGGGCTTCTCCGAAGCCCTCTGGCCTTCTGGGAAGTTTTGTCGTGCGCATTCGGGGCCCGAGAGGCCTTCCGAGCCCCCTGGAAGGCCCGCACCTGCTCGCTTCCCCCTGGGGGCCCGCCGCCGACCCTCGGGGTAAGGAGGGGCAGCCCCACCAGATTGGACCACGGGCAGTCGTCCCACCAGCGGGGCGAGCCGGTCGAGGCGGCGGGGGGGGGGGGGCGGGGTTCGACTAGACGTAAGAGTGACCTTTCGCTGGAGTGACCTTTGGTGTGGGCACAATGGGGTCCCCCGATCGCCGAGCGCGAGGCGGCAGTGGCGCCTTGCGCGCCTGTGTTTGGTCCCCGCGGCCCCCCGAAAAGCCGCGCACCAAAGGTCACTCTTACCCAGGGTCACTCTTGCGTGTAGCCGAATGGGCATGATCGGTCCCAGCTTCGGAGGGGGGCCTCGTCCGAAAGCGGGGGGGGGCCCTGCCTAGGTGGTTGGTTGGGGCAGTGGTAGTCTTTCGCCGCCGGGCAGGGCGGCCACAGAGATGCCGTGGGCGCTATGTTTTCCTCGAGGGCCCCTAGAGATCCTCGGACAGCGCTGCGGTTCCAGACGGTTCCTCGTGCTGCGTCCACCTCCCGCTCCCTCCGAGAGCTCGCAGTGCCACTTCCCGATATGCCGCCCTGTCTCCTCTAGTCGGGCTGCGGCCCTCTGGACGTCGGCCGCTCACGCATCCTGCGTGCTCCCTCCCTCCCTCCCTCCCCTTCGGGGAAACGCGCCTGAGCGGGGAGCTCGCAGCTCGAAGCTGGAAGGACGAGGGCAGCAGGGGTGGGGGAAGGGGAGGAGCGAGTCTGGTACCATGAAGGAGGACCCGGAGAATCGACAGGAAGATGAGCAGGAAAGACGAAGACGAGAAGCAGTGAAGACGGGCGAGACTGAGAGGAGGAGGAGGAGGAGGAGGAGGAGGAGGAGGAGGAGGAGGAGGAGGAGGAGGAGGAGGAGGAGGAGGAGGAGGAGTAGGAGGTGGAGGAGGAGGAGGTGGAGGAGGAGGAGGAGGAGGAGGAGGAGCGAGGAGCGAGGAGCGAGGAGCGAGGAGGGGAGGAGGGGAGGAGGAGGAGGAGGAGGAGAGGAGGAGGAGGAGGAGGAGGAGGAGAGCGAGGAGCGAGGAGCGAGGAGCGAGAAGCGAGGAGAGGAGGAGGAGGAGGGAGGAGGAGGGGGAGGAGGGGGAGGACGAGGAGGAGGTGGAGGAGGAGGGAAGAGGAGGAGGAGGCGGAGGAGGGGGGGGGGGCGGGAGGTTCAGTCTGGGCTCATTCCCCGTGAAGGCAGTGAAGCAGGTTCGCGTCGACCAGGAGAGTGCCACACCTAACGAGGGAAGAGAAGGAGGAGGAGGAGGAGGAGGAGGAGGACAACGACGACGGCGACGACGACGACGACGAGGACGAGGGCGAGGACGGGGAGAGAGTGGATGTCACAGAACTGTGCCCCGCTCGAGTCAGTCCCAGTACGGGGCCCGCGGCTTTCAAGGACGAGGTGGCGGCGCAATATGTCTTGCCTCCACTTCCTCGGAGCTGCTTGCAGTCGAACCGCGTGGGGCGTTCGACCAGCTCGAGCTCAAGATCTGGTTCAGTTCCGTAACGGGACGAGCCAAGAGGGGGCGACTCCAAACCGACGCGAAACGCACCGAGAATGGACGGACCGAAGCACGGCGAACAAAGACGCGACGAATTGTATCAAGACGAACCGAAACGATAAGAAGGCCGAACCGACCCGACCCGACACGTGTGTGTATATATAGATATAACACAGTAAGAATAATAGTATTAATAGTAGTCATAATAGTAGCACTAATAGTAACAATGATGCTTTTCAATTAAAAAGTGGTTCCAGCTCAGGACCGACATGTTCGATACCACCGTTGGGTGGCCTGAACACGTGAAAACACATGGCTTGTGTGCACCAGAACCAGAACAAATCAACGAATATACACAAGATGTGTAATAACTTGAAACGTTCCGTCCTGAGGCCTTGGGGTTGGATATCCCCCCCAGTGGCATGGACATGTAAAAACACATGGTTCCAGCTGTCGCGCGTTAGGAACCCGCGTGTTTTCACGTCTGTCCCGCCCTGAGGCGTTAGGAACCATGTGTTTTCATGTTTGACCCGCCCTCGGACGTTAGGAACCAATGTGTTTTCACTTTTCTCTCGCTCTCGGGCGTTAGGCACCCACGTGCTTTTACGCTTGTCCCGCGCTGAGGCGTTAATGTGTTTCCACGTTTGTCCCGCTCTCGGGCGTTAGGAACCCACGTGTTTTCACGCATGTCCCGCGTTGGGGTGTTAGGAACGCCCGTGTTGTCACGCTTGTCCTGCTCTCGGGCGTGAGGAACCAACGTGTTTTCACGCGTGGATGCCCCGACACAAAAAAAACACGTGGCTCCAGCGCAGGACCACCATGTGGGATACCGCCCTGGCTGGCCTGGACACGTAAAAACATGTGGTCCCAGCATGAGACCACCATGTTAGATACCCCCCTGTATGGCCCAGACACATAAAAGCACGTCGCTCCAGCTCTGGACCACCATGTTAGATACCCCCTTCAGTGGCCTGGACACGTGAAAAAATGTGGTTCCAGCCCACCCAGAGGGGATATCTAACATGCGGTCGTCTAGGACGCCAGCTAACGACAACCATATTAGGTACCCCCCTGGGCAACCTGGGCAAGTGAAAACAAGCAGTTCAATTGACACGCCCTCTGGGTCTTGGCGCCCCAACGGGCCCCCGCTCGAGACATCCCCAACCTCCGCAAAACCAGCGTTTTTTCGCCCGAGGCACCCTCAACATGTGCACACAAAACAAACGTCTCGCCAGGGACATCCTCCACTTTTTCACTCGCCAGCCCTGCCGACCTCGTTATTCCTCGCCAGAGCAAGTTCGCCGGCCCTGCGCGAGTCGAGGCCAGGGGGTCAACCAAGGAAAAGAGAACCCTCGGCCCTGGCCCTCTCCGGGAACGGGATCGGCATCCACTGATCTTCCGAGCGGTGGTTACCACGGGAGTCCGCGCACGTATTGCATGATTGAGACCACGGGCTCCGTGCTATGCTTTCTGGGCACCGGCGGGCTCCCTCGCGGAGCGCGCACGACTCCGGCGGTCGCTTCATTTCGCATCTTCCTCGTTCGAGTACGTACGCATTGTATATACACAGATTCGTAGATGTAGAAATATATGCATACATACATATATACATACGTATGTATATGTGTATATATATACCTGATTGCACAGATGTGTGTAGACATATGTATACACATGTCCCTCGATCGATATATGTATATATAAATATAAATACATACCTATATATATATATGTGTATATATCTATATCTATATATGTTTCTCTCTCTCTCTCTCGCCGCCGCTGCTGCCTCCTTCTCCTCCTCCTCGGCCTCTTTGTCGAGCGATCTCCGACGAGGTGGCACGCGACATCAACAGCCGCCAACGCCGCGTATTTATCATGGGAGATGGCGGTTACCACGGAGGCTTCGGAGGCCCGTGCGCATCGTCTCTTCTCGTCCAACCATCATGGACCCTCCTGCTGCTCACACCTATCCTCTCTTCTCTCCAACTCTCCTCCCCTGTCTATCTCTCTCTCTCTCTCTCTCTCTCCCTCTCCCTATGTATATATATACAAATATATACATATATACACATGTATACCTAGCTACCTCTCTCTCACTTGCGCTCTCTCTCTCTCTCTCTCTCTCTCTTGGTCTCTCTCTATCTCTCTCTTTCTCTCAGTTTATTGATCTCTCTCTCTCTCTCGCCCTCTCTTGGTCTCTCTCTCTCTCTCTCTCTCTCTCCTCTCCGTCTCTCAGTTTCTCTCTCCCATCTTCCTCCTCCCTCCCTGTACCATCAATCCCCCTACTTCCTTTCCACTCGTTAAACCCTCTCATGTTTCGCATTCCCGCTCCTCCCTTCCCCCTCCCTGTTCAATCCGCCCCTCCCTCATTCTCCATCATCCTCCCTTCCTGTGCTCCCTTCCATTTTGCCTCCCTTCCTACCTCCCTCCTCCCTCACTATCATTCCTCATGCCTTCCTCCCTCCTAACTTCTTCCCCACCCCCTCCTGCTTCACCACCACCTCCTTCTCCTGCTCCATCCCTTTTACTTATAAACAACTCCGCCCTGTCGGACCACCAGACGTGTTAACATGCTGGACGGGGCGTTGCGGTTGAGATTTCTTGAGAATGATCACCGCAGAGCTTAGAGTACCCAGTAGTTACACGGACAGACGGCCAGTTGTTTTCAACATGTGGTTCTCGCTTCAGTGCCGCGTAGAATCGGCTTAACATTGTCGAACAATTACACTGATGGAAAGAAGGTCTAGATCAGCGTGCAGCCTCAGCCCCGCGCACGGTCGCTTCAAATCGTTTCAGTATTTGAACGGATGGAGGGCGGGTTGTTTCCAAAATGTGGTTCTCGCCCCCAGCGCAGCGCACGTGCGACTTAGAAGCTTCCATTTGTTACGCTGGTGGAGTGGGGGTGTTTTCAAAATATGGTTCCCGGTTGAACGTCGTTCACATGCGTCTTCAAAGTTTCCAACCGCTACACGGGTGGAATGCCGGTTCTTTTCCACATGGTGTTCTGTCTTCAGACTTCTTCAACAGGTTACCACAAGTGCAAGATTGCGCGACAGCTACACGAATTGAGGGGCTCTCGCCAGCAAAACCGGGCGATTCAGCAACAACAAATTCAAACGAGCAATCAAGAGGACAAACAAGCAACATGACCGACCCACGAACCCAGAAAGGAATTTAAGATATGTGGAGCATGGGACTGGTCAAACACACCCAGTTTGGGCGACGGGCAATTGCGATGCTCAAGGTAGCTATGTTGATGTACAGTGCCAGGGGCTGTGCTGTGCTGTGATGAACTGAGACGCGCCATGCTGCGTTGAAGTGCTGCGCTCGATTGCATTGTGGATCAGGTCGTCCGCGGTGTCAGAGTCCTGACCGAACTGATCTGGATCTTAAGCTCGAACTGCCTGAACGCAAAACTCAGATCTGGCCGCAATCACAACGCACGGGGCGTCGGGCGTTCGACCAGCTCGAGCTCAAGATCCGATTCAGTTCGGAAGCGGACGAACCGAAAGGGGGCGAATCTGAACAGTTCTGTGGTCTGTTGCGTCGTGGATCACATCTTCCCGGGCATCCGAATCTTGACATACATGAGCTGGGCTTCAAGCTCGAGTTGTCGGGGCGCACCGCTCGCCCAGAGCTGACTGCTGTCGAGACCTTATGAAATCATTATGTTCGACAACAGGGCGACATGATAAGGGCAAATCCACACTCAGGCGAAATACGTCGACAAGGGACGGGCCGAAGGGCCGACGACGACGACGGCGGACGGCGACGACAGCGACCGCGGTTCCAGCTCGAGACCATTACATCTTAGATATCCAATAGAATGGCCTGGACACGTGAAAACACGTAGTTCCAGCTCGGGGCCACCATTTGAGATAGCCCAGTGGGAAAATTGGAAAACCACCAGCCGAAGAAAGTGCCCGTTATTATACAGCTGGTGTCGATGTTTTGATGTTGTTTGGCTCTTGTGAGTCCCACGTGGGGGGCACCTAGACGACGACATGTTAGATACCGCCCCGTTGATGGCCCGCACACTTAAAAACACGTGGCTCCAGCTCGGGGCTACCATATCCGATACCCCTCTGGGTGGCGTAGACACGTGAAAGCACGTGGCACCGAATTGTAGATACGCCTCTTGGTGGCCTGGACAGATGAAGCCGCGCTGTCCCAGCTCGGGCCAACCATGTTAGATACCCCCTTTGAGTGGCCTGGGCACATAAAGTTACTCACTGCGTGGAGCTCCCCATATGTTCATATCATGCTTATGTCGCGCCATGGTGAGCGTCTGTTCATGAGCGCTTGACTAGAATAGCGCGTCCACACGGGCGACAGGGCCGACGAAGACGAGCGAATCCTCATGCGAATGAATGAGTATGAGTCCGAGTGAGCTTTGAGTATGATTGAATATGAACCTCCCATTCACTCCCCCGCCCCAGCTGCCGTGCACGACCCAAGGGACCAGCACGCCTGGACTCCTGCCTCCGTGCGTCCCAGAGGGTACGTACCGGAGCACGACCCAAGGGATCAGCACGCCTCGACTCCTTCCTCCGTGCGTCTCAGAGGGTACGTGCCGGAGCACGACCCAAAGGACCAGCACGCCTCGACTCTTTTCTCCGTGCGTCCCAGAGGGTACGTGCCGGAGCACGACCCAAGGGAGCAGCACGTCTCATCTCCTTCCTCGCAGCATGAAAACGAGCAAACCGCCTGAGACATCCCCGCAAAATGGCCGCGAACGGGCCCGTGAAAACACCCCTGGCGGCTCCCTTTAGGGGTGCTGAAACCAGCGCCCCGCCTGAGACATCGTCAAAATCTAATCTGAAAGCCAAGGATGTTGGGCATGAAAACTAGCAAACCGCTTGAGACATCCCCACAAACTGGCCGCGAACGGGCCCGTGAAAACACCCCTGGCGGCTCCTTCACGGGTGCTGAAACCAGCGCCCCGCCTGAGACATCCTCAAAATTTGCTCTGGAAGCCCAGGATGTTGGGCATGAAAACGAGCAAACCGCCTGAGACATCCCCGGGCCCGTGAAAACATTTTTGGCGGCTTCCCTTAGGGGTGCTGAAACCAGCGCCCCGCCTGAGACACCCTCACAATCTGCAATGAAAACAAAGGATGTCGGGCATGAAAGAGCAAACCGCTTGAGACATCCCCACAAACTAGCCGCGAACGGGCCCGTGAAAACACCCCAGGCAGCTCCCTTTTCACGGGTGCTGAAACCAGCGCCCCGCCTGAGACATCGTCAAAAACTAGTCTGAAAGCCAAGGACGTTGGGCATGAAAATTAGCAAACCGCTTGAGACATCCCCACAAACTTGCCGCGAGCGGGCCCGTGAAAACACCCCTGGCGGCTCCCTTCACGGGTGCTGAAACCAGCGCCCCGCTGGAGACATCTTCAAAATTCGCTTTGAAAGCAATGGATGTTGGGCATGAAAACGACCAAACCGCTTGAGACATCCCCACAAATTCGCCGCGAACAGGGCCGTGAAAACACCCCTGCCGGCCTCCTTTCACGGGTGCTGAAAGCAGCGCCCCGCTTGAGACATCTTCTTAATCCGCTTTGAAAGCAAAGGATATTGGGCATGAAAACGAGCAAACCGCCTGAGAGATCCCCGCAAATTGGCCGCGAACGGGCCCGTGAAAACACCCCTGGCGGCTCCCCCTGGGGGTGGTGAAACCAGCGCCCCGCCTGAGACATCCTCACAATCTGCTATGAAAGCAAAGGATGTTGGGCATGAAAACGACCAAACAGCTTGAGACATCCCCACAAATTGGCCAGCGCCCCGCCTGAGACATCCTTACAATTTGTTTTGAAAGCAAAGGATGTTGGGCATGAAAACGAGCAAACCGCTTGAGACATCCCCACAAACTGGCCGCGAACGGGCCCGTGAAAACACCCTTGGCGGCTCCTTCTAGGGGTGGTGAAACCAGCGCCCCGCCTGAGACATCCTCATAATCTGTTTTGAAAGCAAAGGATGTTGGGCATGAAAACTACCGAACCGCATGAGACATCCCCACAAACTGGCCGCGAACGGACCCGTGAAAACACCCCTGGCGGCTCCCCTTAGGGGTGCTGAAACCAGCGCCCCGCCTGAGACATCCTCACAATCTGCTGTGAAAGCAAAGGGTATTGGACATGAAAACGAGCAAACCGCTTGAAACATCCCCACAAACTGGCCGCGAACGGGCCCGTGAAGACACTCCTGGCGGCTCCCCTTAGGGGGGGCTGAAACCAGCGCCCCGCCTGAGACACCCTCACAATCTGCTATGAAAGCAAAGGGTGTTGGGCATGAAAACGAGCAACCGCCTGAGACATCCCCACAAACTAGCGGCGAACGGGCTTGTGAAAACACCCCAGGCGGCTCCCTTTGCGTGTTTGAGTATGATTACGTATGAGTATGAGTAGGTTTCAGTCCGTGCGTTGAGTAAGTCAGACTATGAGAAAGTCTGAGTATGTGCAGGTGTGAGTATGAGTAAATCTGTGTATGAGCAGGTTCTCTGGAGTCGGCGGCATCCGAGTAATAATTACTTACTCGACGCGGGGCTCCCCGTATGTGCATCTCATTATGTTGGTACGTCTTTCTCTTGATATCTGTCAATGAGCGCCTGTGTGCGAGGGCGAACCGCTCGCTCGAGACATTCCCACAGTCGCATGAGTGCGACAAATAGCACATCTGAGAGCGACTGATTCTGAGTGTGAGTTGGAGTTAATATGGGTGCGATTGAGCCTGGGTTTGAGTGGGTATGCGTGTGAGTAAATATGAGCGCGAGTGCGTCTGTGTGCGAGTGGGTCTGAGTATGGACGAATCTGAGTGTGAGCCAGTCTGTGATTGAGCGGATCGTAGCATGGTGAGCCTGAGCATGAGTGAGTTTGGGCTTGAGTGAGTCTGGGTGTGAGAA